AATACAATGCAGGAACTCCAAGAAGTATGCACAGGTTTAAACACTCAAATTGTTCAAGCAGAAGAAAGGATATCAGAGGTCAAAGTCCAACTTGATGAAAGAAAATGAGAAGACAAGATTAGAGAAAAAAGGATAAAAAGGAATGAGCAAAGTCTCCAAGAAATGTGGGACTATGTGAAAAGACCAAATTTATGTTTGATAGGTGTACCTGAATGCGACGGAGAGAATGAATCCAAGCTGGAAAATACCCTTCAGGATATTATTCAGGAAAATTTTCCTAAACTAGCAAAGCAGGACAATATTCAACCCCAGGTAATACAGAGAACACCACGAAGATATTCCTCAAGAAGAGCAACCCCAAGGCACATAATCGTTAGATTCACCAGGGTTGAAACAAAGGAGAAAATACTAAGGGCAGCCAGAGAGAAAGGTCAGGTTAATTACAAAGGGAACCCTATCAGACTTACAGCAGATCTCTCAGCAGAAACTCTACAAGCCAGAAGAGAGTGGGGGCCAATATTCAACATCCTTAAAGAACAGAACTTTCAGCCCAGAATTTCATATCCAGCCAAACTAAGCTTCACAACTGAAGGAAAAATAAAATCTTTCATAAACAAGCAAGTACTCAGAGATTTTATTTCCACCAGGCCTGCTTTACAAGAGCTTCTGAAAGAAGCATTACACATAGAAAGAAACAACCCGTATTAGCCTTTCTAAAAATAGACCAAAAAGTAAAGAGCACCAACATAAAGAAGAATTTACATCAACGAATGGATAAAACAGCCAGTTAACATCAAATGGCAGTAATCCTAAATTTAAATTGACTAAATCCCCCAATCAAAAGACATAGCCAAAACCCAACGGCATGTTACATCCAGACCTATTTCACATGCAAGGATACACAAAGACTCAAAGCAAAGGGATGGAGAAAGATTTATCAACCAAATGGAGAGCAAAAATAAATAAATAAATAAAAGCAGGAGTTGGAATTCTTGTATCTGATAAAATAGATTTTAAAGCAACAAAGATATAGTGGTAAAAGGATCAATGCAACACAAGAGCTAACGATCCTAACACCCAGATACATAGAGACTTAGACTCAATGAGACAGAAAACTAATAAGGATATCAAGGACTCGAACTCAGATCCGGAACAAGTAAACTTAATAAATATTTATGGAGCTCTCCACTTCAAATACACAAAATATACATTCTTGTCAATACCACATCACACCTACTCATAGGTTTAAATGAAACATTGATTGGCCATTATTAATACCCATTTTTTTTTAGAATAAAGCAACATTTCCATTCTCTCTCCCTCTTTTTCTTCCTCTTTCTTCCTCTCATTCACTCATTTTTTTTCTTTCCTTCTCTCAAAAAAAGAAAAAAAAGAAATCAACTTGTAGACCTCTAGATCCAGGTCGACAATGTCTCTCTCATTGCTTGATTTCCTTCCTTCCCTTCTCTCTCTCTCTCTCTCTCCCTCCCTCTCTCCCTCCCTCCCTTCCTCCTTTCCTCCCTTCCTGCCTTCCTCCCTTCCTAAAAAAAAAATTAAAAAAAATTTTAAAATACAGTCTAATAATCCTTATTTTGTGACAGGTGAATTTAACCTATTTTAATTTACTATAACTAATGTATTTAGACATATTTCTATGACCATATTTGTGTTTTCTGTTTATCATTCATTTTCTTTATTTCTCTTCTACCTTTTAAACATTTTTATATGTTACCTTTTTTTTTATTGTGCTCTCTGTGGAGTTGGATGCTATTTTATTTCTCATCCTAACTGGTTACATGTGGATATGTACTTAACTATACATATATAAAGATCAGTCCTAAATGAGATAAGGCCCAAGTGTGACACAAAAATTGAGAAATTTTAGGAGTAAATACAGAAGAATATGACATTTTAGATAGGGAGGATTTCTTAAATAAGTCACAAAAGTAAAGACTATAAAACAAGAGATTGATATATTCAACTGCTTTAAAAGTTTTTTTTTTTAAACTTCCCATATATCAAAATACATCATGGAAAACTTTAAAAATACAAGCCATAGTCTGGGAGAAGATGTCCGCAATGAATATAAGTGGCACAGTATTGATATTCAGAACAATAAACTCCTAAAAATCAATAAAAAGAGACAACCCAACAGAATACAGATAAAGGATATGAAAAGTCAATTCACAGAAGAAACAAAAGTGGACAATAAACATACAAAAAGATGCTCTGCCTCACTAGTAATCAGGGAAACATATTATCATTACAATGGAATACCATTTCATGTTTATCATGACAACTGGCAAAGTTTCTAAGTCTGACAATTTCAAGTGTTAAGGCTGCAGGGGAATGGAAACTCTTACATTCTGCTATTGGAAGAGTATGTTCAATTACTTTGAAAAACAATTCATCATTATGTAGTTAATTTGAAGATGCATATAATTAATAAATTCTTTTCCCTAAAGAAATTCTCATATGCATACATAAAGAGACATGCACAAAAATGCTCTAAGCAGCACTATTTGCTGCAATTTCGAGCAGCTATAAATAACCTAAATTCTGATCAATAAAATGGATAAATTGTAATTCAGTCACATATGAAATATCATACAACAATTAAAATAAATGAAACAGAGCTATGTGTATCAATATGAATGAATCTCTACAATATAATCATGAGTAGGGAACAAGTCATAGAATGACGCTGATAGTGTGATATCATAAGAATCTGTAAAGCACTACCAGTTACATTTTTTATACACAGATATGGAAAACCACTGAATTCATGACAGTGATTACCTATAGGGTGAAGGAACAAAGATGTAATTAGGGAAGAGTATAGAATAGTCTCAATTACATTTATAATTTTTTCCCAAAAATAGGTGACTCTGGCATAGAAGGCACATGTTGATATGACAAAGTCAAGGGGTTTGGCATGGGGGCAATAAATGGCTGTTTGTTATATCTCTACTCCTTTCTGTATATTTGAAATTATTCACAATTAACAAAATAAGACTTTAGAGAAGGTATCAAGCAGATTAAGGCTTTCAAAGTCCCAATTAGCATTTCAGAAGGCTCCTAGTCTATAAGTGGCAGCATCGCACTGCAGTTCTATGTTGAGGATGGTCTGGGGAGAAGTTCAGACAGGCCATTGGTAGCCCGAGAGAGGTAGCAAGCTGACTCCTAGCTGCTGCAGCTCTTGGTGAGATGTAGAATGTGGGTGAATTTGATAACACAAGACAGTGAATAACAGTTCTTTTGACATGGAATAGAGTCATTCAGATAACAGCATGGTCCAATGGTGTTTCCTAACCTTTCCAAGTCATGGCAAACATGGATAATATTTGTCTGACACATTGGAGTGAAGGCTACCACTGGTGGGGCTTCTGCTGCCCTAGGTCCTATCTGTGACCCTGAGAGCTGAGTAGATCAATATTTCACATCACACAAGTATAGCCGATTTGCAGGACATCAGTGTGCCACAACACACCTTTTTGGATGCCCTGGCCCAGAATATGTATATATTTTTTTGTCTAAGAGGAGGCATAATAATAAATCACTCCAAACTCTGGCAGTGCTGATTTTTTCAATCCCAAAGCTGTCTAAATGGAGTGTACTAAAGAGTCAAAACTACTTTGCTTGAATTTGTGCAGTGGTAATTAGGAGCAGAAAGAGCTTGTACAAAAAAAATGCACTTAACAGAGCCTGAAGATTTGCCTCTAAAGCAATTGAAAACAGATCAAGAACTCTTTCCAGTTCATACTTAGGTATCATACCGGGTGTGACCTGGTGAAACTGAGATGTGAAGCAGGCAACATGGACAGTACATTGTGGAATAGAACAGGACACAATTAAAAGCAACTAAACTGAATTAGACAAAGATAATCCCTCACCAGCACCTTAGGAGGAATTGGTAGGTCATACAAGTGAGCCACTCTACTCATGTCATTATGTAGACCAGATAATTGCTAGGACAGTGACTGCAGAGGGTAATATCTCCATCTCTTTGAAAATGAGGCACTGGCCCATGGATACAGCATGCTAGGCTTGGTGGAAGGCAGGGCTGACATAGTTCAGGCATGCTGGTTACTAATATATTGAAACATACCCAAGTTTATTCGTAATTAGTCATCCCCTGAGACCCACAAACCTGCCATGTGCCCATTGTGCCACACCAGCTCCTCCTCCAGGACACCATCTCCCCGTAGTCCGGTAACCAAAGTGTTAATGCCTAGTATAGCAGATGGCTGTTAAGTATTTTGAATATCACCCATGGATGAAGATAAGCCCCACATCAACTCTCAAACGCTCACTAACCCTGCCAGCACCATCATCCCCATAATCCTAAGAGAGAACAGTATCTCTTTTTGTCCAATTTTGCCTTAAGTTTCCAATCCAGAGTAAAACGCCTCTCTGAAAGAATTAAATTGCTCAGCCTCTCCTAGGCTAGATGTCAGCTATAGAGGGGCAAAAGGACCTTTTAATCCCATGGTCATGGTCACAGCTTTTTGTGGGGAGCTGACCTTCCCTTAATAATGAGAGACAAAAGTCTTCTTGACCCTCTACACAACCAACCAAACCTGCTCACTTTCCCAGACTAGCCCAACCTTATGAGCCATCCTCCCTTCATTCCATGGCACTTTCCAAGCAGATTCTCTATCCCACATGACTCTATAACTTATTTCTCAGGAGACCAGGACACTTCCTTGACACCTGAGTCCAATGAGTGATTTGGAGAGAACTTGACACTAGAATATGCAACAATATCCAGAGTACCAGCCTTGCCATCCACAGTCAAGAGGAGGTAGCACAGAGTTGGCAGGAAGAAAATAAACTGCCTGTGGAGCAGAGGGTAGGGGAGAAGAATCGTTCACGGCACAAGAGTTCTGCTGTTCATTCAAGGAGTCAAAGGAGAAGGGCAGGCATTGCATTTGGATAGGCAACAAGGCATCATTCAGGAAAGAAGGAAAGGCCAAGGCAGAAGGGCCATGCCTACTCACCAGGGCTGGTTATCGTCAGGAGGTCAAGCTGTCGCTGTTGCTGCAAAAGAAAACACACTGTGAGAGTACTGATTTGAGCCAAAATTGTGCTTAGCAGGTCAGGGCAGACATACAAAGAGGATGCTTGGACATACCGCAGGGTAAATTATACTGAATGTGATATTCACTTCCAATTCTGCAGAGAGGGTTTGTACCCTAGAGACAAAGGGGGATGGATGGGCTTTCTGTTTGGAAGCATAGGTGATTAGAGCTGAGAGGGAGGGCCCTAGAGGTCTCTCAGTCTAATTATACCATACTTATGGAAAATGAGGCCCTGAGCAGAATGTGGCTCACCTAGAGCCACAGCGAAGGTCCCTTTCCAGTTTCCCAGTCATGTGCTCATTCTTCTGTACCAGATAGCTTTAGATTTCCCTTTGCTCATGCTGGCTGCACTGGCTGAGTGTCTGACATATTGGCAATGCTCTTTGCCTTGAGTGCCTGTGGTACTGCCACTCTCTAGATGCTTCTTTTTAACCAAGATCTTTGTGGATTTGTTTCATTCTTAGCCTGCTCACAATACTATAAAAATTTCAATTAGCAATGATCAACCATTACTTTTCTAACCAAATCTTTATCCTTTTTTTACCACACAATATTCACACAGAATAATATTTGTCTAGTACACTAGGCGATAGGGATGAGGCAGCTATTTTGGGAAGCAACTGGCTTTGGCAATCCCAAGGAATGAGGTGATCAATATCTCAAAAGGCCTCTTCCCTATCACAGCACAGCTATTGTCCTAGACTGGATGCCATGAAACCCTGAGGGTAGAGAAGTGGGTATAGGAGGCTGCAGCTGGCGAAGTGGTAAGCAGCCCTTTTAGAGACTTGAGCCAGGATTCCTTAAGCTCAGTCCTCCTGCCTACTTTTTCTCTTTTCTACACTTGATTTTTTCTAGATCTCTGTTTCTGTTTTCTTAAAAGGTATCCAAACAAACTCCACTTTGAGAGTCATTGCTCTAGGTTGCAAATTGCAGGAGCTTTCAATCATCTGGCATTTTGTGCAGTGGAGGCCTTGCCATATTTTACCTCCCCTGCGTTTCCCTCTTTATCTTGCCTCTATCCAAGAATGGCTTCCTGAAATTCTGCCTAAGCAGAAAGAGGAAGGCAGAAACATTTTTAAACTAACTGTAGGTCCAGCTGAGTTCTAAGTACTTTGATGTATCAATTTTTTTTCATACTCTTGACAATTGTGCAGGAGAAAGACATGATATTTTGAGAGAAGAAACTGTCTGTCCAAGACATCTTCATTAAATGGCAGGGTCAGGTTTAAAATTTAGTCAGTTCTGATTCTGGCCCTAAAGTCCAAAATATGGCAATGCATATAAATCATCTAGCATTATGCCTGGTACTTAAAAGGTTCTCAGTAAAAAGATCTATTTAGTATTGATGCTGTTGTTATTATAGAACATCCGATCCTTGGTTTATATGAGCTGCCTCTTACTTTCTCATGAATTTTACTTATTTAAATCTCAGAGATTTGATCTGCCACTAGGGCAGGAACCTCCTCCTCAATGTCCCCACCAGTTGTATGAATGGCTTCTGCTTCATCTCCTTTCTTGGTAGAGAAACCACTGCTTTTTTTGGTTAGACAGCTCTACTTTGAGTAAGGTTAAAAGCTGCTTCCTGATGACATAATCACAATTTCTAGCTACCTTAGTCCTTGACAACAGTTTGGAGAACTGAAGAAGGTATGAGTTGTCTTCTCTCCAGTCTAAATATTCCCAGGTCTTTTCTTCCTTACTCATAAGACCTGGTCTCAGATCTCCTTCTCCTCAGGGTCACCCTCCTTCTCCATTAACTTTGATCTGTTTCAGTCAAAATCTCTGTAAGATTTCTCTACCCCTTGCTTCAGTGACTAAAAGGAGCTCCAGAGCCCTTCAGTTCCTTCTCAATCACACATACCTGTTTTCCTGCCAGCTTATAACTCATTCCAGTTGACATTTTCAGCCAAACAATGCAACTCTAAGATGTCACTAATCTACACAGGAAGAACATATTCTAGCACTGATATGAAACACCCACCCACCCATGTGGACTAGAAGGAATGCTGGAGCCAGACCTTCTTCCTTCCCTAATATGGAACCAGGCCAGTGGGATATCTAGCTCAAGCCATCTCTCCCAAGGCCAACCTATGTGGCTTGGCACTTTCTTCATGGATAAGGGAAGAATCTATTGTGTCCTTTTATCATACACTTGACTTTGTGATGATCGCAGTTGGTAAAGATGGCCTATTTATCTGAAATGTATTTTTTTCTAATTAAAAACCATTGCTAAATGGTGACTCTATGCCTAGGATTCTTTAAAGAAAAAAGGGAAGATAACTTGACAGAGTCAGACAGGGCTAGGCTTGTGTCCTGGGTCTTCTGTCTCTGGCCTCAAACTTCACAACCCTAAACTGAGCAAGTGAGACTGAAATCCACCAGTGACTGTGAGCCAAATGCAACCAGGTAGTGTGTTTATTGGCTCCCTCTTCTGATGTAGAAACTCCCTCAGAATCTGTAGCCAGCACACTGGGGGCTCAAAGGACAAAGTCAGAATTTAAAAGGGATCACATTTAAACTATCCTCTCACATTGCAGTTTTCTGTGCATGTATCAGTGTTCCTCACTAGATGAGGAGCATCTTAAGGGTCTAGAACATCTGTTACTAATCTTAGTAAAATAAGCATATGTCACAGAGTTGCTCTCATAAGTATTTGCTGAACTCAACTGAACTAGTCCCCAAATCCACATAAATTATCCTCTCAAACCTCCATGCCTTTGCTTATGCTATCATCTCTGTCTACCCTCTTGAAATCTTCCCAGAAGTCTCTCTTCTCTTCTCAAGACTTCCATGAAGTCTTCTCTGAACACCATCTCCCAAACCTAACCATGTTATCTTCCTTTCTAAGAGCAGAATTTCATACTGTCCTCCAAGCATCTTGCAAAGCCTGTCTCACTAGGATCCTCAAGTAGTAAGAAAGACAATGAAGACAGTACATGATACATGACAGTATACATGATACATGACCATATACATGATACATGACAGTATCATGTACTGTCTTCATTGTCTGTCTTTTTCATGTACTGTCTTTCTCACAGGAGAAAGTATCATGTACTGTCTTCATTGTCGGTCTTTCTCACCAGGATCCTACTTGAGGACAGGGTTAAGTCATTTCACCTCTGTGCTGGAGTTCCCAGAACAAAGGTCTGGAAGAAATGTTTGATGCCATCTAGCTAAGTGTTTCAGTGATGCTGTTACTCCTCTACAATGACCCTGTTGATTAGGAATCAATCAGCATGGAGAGTAAACTTACTCTTTCTTTTCCAAGACTTTTCCTCTGTTACATCTTTGGGGTTTCTTCCCTTTAAGATTTTGCTCCTGCTATTTCTGTAGCCAGGAATACTGTCAATCCATTTCCTCTGCGAGGGCTTCTGTACTGTCTGTACCATCTCTGTGGTGATAAATGAACACTTACCTGGTGACAAGCCATTTAACCTACAGATCACTGACATATGTATGCACCACCTAGTGGCACAAACAGATATGTGTAGGCTATTGTTTTAACCTCTAGCTCTTAAAATAGGATTACAAAATCTGTATGTTCTATATGCAATCGAAAACAAAAGTGTATGTTCCAGAATGACTCTGCAGTATTTAGCTAAGAAACTGGAATATTTAAATAATCCCTCAAAGTCATTCAAAAACAAAAGGATTGAAATGAAAGTGAAAATTTTCCTTACTAGTCAACCTGGCACAATCATTTCAGATTGCCAAAGAAAACTGTGTGACAGCTTTATATTTGTAAAAATATAAAGAGGAGATATATTTGTAAAAATATAAAGAGCACACGGTTTATAGAATTTGACCAATAATGCACAGTCAGCTACATACAGACAGGGGCATGTTGGACATAAAGAATTACCAAATTAGGCCGGGCATGGTGGCTCACGCCTGTAATCTCAGCACTTTGGGAGGCCAAGGCAGGCAGATCATGAGGTCAAGAGATCGAGACCATCCTGGCCAACATGGTGAAACCCTGTCTCTACTAAAAATACAAAAATTAGCCAGGCATGGTAGCACGCGCCTGTGGTCCCAGCTACTCGCTGAGGCAAAAGAATTGCTTGAACCCAGGAGGTGGAGGTTGCAGTGAGCTGAGATTGCCGCACTGCACTCCAGCTTGGTGAGAGAGCAAGACTCTGTCTCAAAAAAAAAGGAATTACCAAATCATTATAATTGGTTGCTGACTGAGAGAGACTAAGGAAGGCAGAGCCTTTGCATGTGCAGTAGTGGTTGTGTATGTGTGTTTGTATGTGTGTGTATGTTTGGGGTCGGGGAGAGGACATTCTTCTCAGGCAAAAGAAGTCCACATTTGGATACAGGGGCATGTATCCAAATGTGCCTGTGTGGTATTCTATGGACTGCTAAAGGGATATGGGTATGCCAGTGTTGGGTCAATCAGGAAGAGATATGTGGATGCCTGGCTGTGTATACCCCTGCATCCAGCTTTCCCTGATAAACATGGTGCCATGGACATTCAGAAGAAATCAATTTCTGTGCTTAGCCGCTGTGTGGTGAATGCTGAGTATGACTCCATAAGAACATGGAGGGTGGGGATTCTAAGGTCAACAGGAGTAACTTCTGAATTGGGTATCCAGGGATTGCCAGAATATCTATAGTGGATGCTTAAGGAATTGTCCACCAGCACCCTTGCTCCAGGAGTTATCCATTATTCCCCCATGCATCCAGTGAATGCTGTTATGTTAGTACCATGTCACCCCACCTCTAGTCACAGTGGACTTCTCCAAAGGTGGAAGTTCTAAAAGCTGGGCTAATTAGACACCTCACCCAAGAACTTTAGACCTTTTCTGGATTCAATTATTCTCGCTGAAAACCATAGTTGTCCCAAATTAAAGAAGCTATCTTTAAAATTTTCATATTTATGAAAATCACACATGCTGATTTTTGTCATTTTCCAAAATTTCAGAAAATTCAGAATAAAAGTAGAAAAATTACTTT